ATCTTCAACTTTTTTTACCCAAAAGCATTGACGATGCCCACGGGACGTTCGTACAAACATTTTCCGAGGTATCCTTTCCGCAAAATGTTGGTTGTTGTTGTCGTTGTTGTTGCGTAATAGTCTACATTTGTCAGGATCTTTCATGAAAAGCTACCGTTCCCTCCTCCTGCCAAACATAGGCATATATATATATACGAGACGCATGCGTGGCCATGGGGAGTCAGTCACAACTTGAACACGTGTACTCTTGATTGATTGAGTGTAACAACGCCGAATTCCCCGCAGTTCTTGTCTTGGCTGATCGCCGTCTGTCTGTGTATCGCTCTTTCTCTTTGTCTCGCTCGACTTATATTTATTGTAGCTTACGTACGTGCATTTACGGATGCTACAATCTAGTCCAGAATTGTGTTCATACGGTCCGTGCACAACAATTTGTCCAATAATTTCCCATGCCCAAAGTGCAACTTTTCTCTGCACACCGGTGGTTGTTCGAAGATCTGAAAGTACCGGCGAACGCCCTGTTTACAGGCGCAGGGCGTGATGGAGAGTTTTTTATTCTTTTCCTTTCCTTGACTTTTTAATTCCGAAAAACCGGAAAACTTGCTTCGTTTACAGGGGGTGGAGCTTTTTGCCGATTCACAAAAACTCGACGGATTTGGACTGATCTCGGAATTCCGCAGATGGGTATTATTTATTATTTAATTTTTTCTAACCTTGGATTTGAAGGAGATATCCAGGAAAAACTGGATCTAGATAGAGGGTCAAGTTGTTTCGTTTACAGCACAGCAACTGACCAACCGATTCCAAAATAAACAGCGGCAAACGATTCCTCTCATCAGTCTCTAGTTGGGTATTTTTGTTTTTCCCGCGGGAAAACTCTGGTTCTCGAGATATTCCACATTTTGTCGTGCCGTGCCATCGGAGATTTTTTTGCTGTTGGGCAAGACGCTCCCACAACAAACTGGCACACGTGGCGGCCCGAACAACACGAGACACGCACGCAAGCAAGCAAGCACCATGGCACGGCCTAAGAAGAAGAGCATCGGCAAGCGCGGAGCCGATGGCCGGGCGGTTCCGAAGAAACCGAAGCCGGCGCAGCAATATACATGATCTTCCGTCACGCGGCGCTGGTGATGCGCTCTCCGACGGCCACGACGGCGCTGATTTGATGGACGTAAGCGTAGTGATGTCTATTATTTTTCTACGTGTATAGACTACTGTGCGAAGTGTGGCGATTCGTTCACTTGTATACATTGGCGTGCTTGACCTTCGAGGGCGTTGTCGAGCAAGCGTGGTATAGTATCTGTGTGGTACAAATGCAAACAGGGGGTGTCGTGGTGTATTTAGAGCAGGTGGTAGAGAGCCAGAGGGCTCTCCGGGGGACACGGTTAGGGGGTTCCGTGAATGCACAGCGGGGTATGTCGTGTTTGGGGGGCTCCATGTATGCCTTATGCCAAAAATGTCGCCCGGCGTAAATCCACCAGTGCTTGCGCACAGAAATTCCGTGCAAGCGGTGAAAAAGTGAAAACGCCTCCAGAACTACTTACAGACCCATTTTGAAATTTGTCCAGCGCACACACAATGGACAAATTTCAAAATGGGTCTGTAAGTAGTTCTGGAGGCGTTTTCACTTTTTCACCGCTTGCACAGAAATTCTGTGCGCAAGCACTGGTGGATTTACGCCGGGTGCAAAAATGTTGCATATCGCTCAAGAAAAAATAACTCTGCAGCTATCGACGTATCTCGACGAGGCGGTGACGACTATCGGTTGTTTCACGTTTCAATTATTTTCCCAAACGAAGTTATCGCACAAAACGTTATAGGACAAATTGTTGTGCACGGACTACACAAGGATCGACTTTCTCTTTGTCTGCCGATGGCATGCATGTGTAGGCCACAAAGAGACACTTGAGCTCAAGGTCAAAAGCGTGGGTACCTTGGGGTATCCAGAAGAAAGTGTGCACCGCAGAGTCCAAGACACGGTAGATATGGAATGGACTGGAAGCGCCGCTGTTGCCATTTGTGACTTGAGCGGGAAGAATATCTTGTCATCAGAAGGCGTGTGTACAATGTAGGCGAGGATTTTGCCCCTGCGAGTTGTTGCTCGCGCAATTCGCCGCAAGAGAGCGAAAAAAGAAACAAGGGCGACGCATCCGCGTCCGACCTGTGGGCATATGTGCTATGGTGCCTGTCTCACGCATGCGCAGCTCACCGCCCATGTGGCGCATCACTGCGAATGATGGATCGAAAGGCAAAAA